GGATTGACCGTTACATTATAACGCCCCCACGGCTGAAAGGGCGAGCATGTTTGGTGGGACGAGGATTCGAACGCACGACCCTCTGATTGCTAGTCGAGCGCCCTAACCACTTGGCCATGACCGGCCCACAATAAACCTATAATTATTGTAGTGTACCTTGGTTTTGTAGAACCAAATAATCGCAAGAAATAGGCTCAAATCATCATACAAACATATCGAAACAATCACGAAAATTTACCCATCAGATCACTCAAAGAATCGCAGAAATATATCCAAAAGTTCCCACAAACATATTTCAAAAACTGCACAAGCATATCTAAACAATTACAAAAATTTATCCGACGGATCATACAAATATGCTCAAAGGATCACGCAAATTGATCCAAAAATCTCCACAAATGAATTCAAAAAATTGCACAAAATATTATTAGGACCAGCTGCCGATTTTGTTTCGTTCAAAATATGTTTTATGCGATTTTACCCATACTAGCATCTGTGACTTGCATTAAGCTTCGTGATACTTTTGAGCTTATATTTTATTATTTCTGTCCCATGTACTCTCAATACTATCGTGTATTACATCTCTTGGAAAGGCGAAGCTGAAGCTAAGTGTTAGTATTGACGCAATACTAACACTTGTTTCTATGTAATAATTGTTCTTCAGAAGAAACATTATCATGACTTGTTTAGGAGTGTTTAATATCAAATAGAGATCGCGTTAATTAAAATTTATTTTGTTACATATCTATTTTTAGATTTTATGAAACCTTTCGGGCACCAGGAGGCTATTTTTAGAGAAAATTTTAAATTCTCAGAAATTAACTTTACCTTTTATTCTTTTAGTAAGCCTATCGTGTGAGCATAATTACAATATAATTAAAGATATTTAAATGCGTTCCCTATTTCTATATTAATAAAGTTTTAACTGAAACGGAGCGGAATAAAAAGATTTGTAGTCATGCTTTATAAATTAGCTGAGAAAATAAATGTTAAGATTAATATTTTAGAAAAAGCAATGGGAAAAATGTTTGTTATAAAAGATAAAAAGTCAATCAATATTTTATATCCGAATTATTTTATTAATCAATTTTAGGTATTATTCTAAATGTTTCTATAATTATAATGAAAATGTGGTTCAAGCTTGAAGGCTTATAACACAAGAATTCGGGGTTTGATCCACACAGAGCACATAATGCCGATAGCCCATTGTGGAGTTCTGTGTTGAAAAAAAATAAAAACGAATCAGGTTTGATTCGAGCGTGGTCAAGTAGTTAGCGTATTGGCCTGAGGTTCCGAATGTCTTGGGTTTCGAGTTATGGTGCTACCAAGCAGTTGCATTCTAAGATGGGCCAAGCCCATTCCAGTGGTCAGCTTGTTAGACTATAGGTCCAAGGTTCAGTAGTTCGCGCCCCGTTACCACCAATAAATAAATTGCGCTACGTATTTTGAGGCCGTGAGTGCATTACAAGAGTGACAGTTAAATTCGATTAGAGCAGCCCACGAATAGCTTTGAGGGAAGTGCAACAAACAACAGCAGTGTTCTAAAAATGACAATCAAGTCTGCAGTTCAAAATTAGGGACGGCTATATCTGAACTTTAGGGATCTCTGACATGGCCGTTTATCCCATTAACTGTGTGCGTAAGGTATCGTTAATCTCATTTTCGAGCGTGACAGACATTTCCAAAATTAT